GTTTAAATTAAATATTTAAATGAGATTGTGTCCTATGTTTGTACTATGAAGAAAATAATAAAAATTCTAGTATATAAAAAAGAACTCCCATTTACCTTGAAAACAAAAAAGACTAAAATAATTAATGTGGCCATCCACAAAATTGAAGTGAGATTATTTGACTTTGAGAATAGGATAATAATTTTTAATAAATAATTATATTTATAATTAAGCGTTTATTTTTAAAAACTAATTATGTTATTGAAGAAAATATTAATGTATTCTTCCACTTCAACATAATTGAAGGTGTAATTACTTGGCTTTGAAAATATTGGAGTAAATTTATAGCAAATAATTACATTTATGATTATATATTTATTTATAAAAACTAATTATGTTTATGGTTGAGTTACATAAAAGCTAAAAAAAGTGTAGTAAATGTAGCTTTGGGAATAGGAGAGTAATTATTTAATAAGTAATAAATGTACATAATTAAGTGTTTGTTTCATTTTTGTAAAAACTAATTATGTTCATGGTTGTATTACATAGAAGTTAACAAAATTTATTTCAGTATAATAAATATAGATTTGGAGGGAAAAAATAAATTTTTCCAGCTGCTTTGCTTTTATATATATATATATATATATATATATATAGATTCATTGAGAAGCTTAATTAATTTTTAACAAATATAAAACATCTTTTTTATTGTGAAAATGAAATTAATCAAATTAAATTTATATACAAGAATTAAATTCGTTATGTCGTGACTGAGATATCAATTTTAAAATTAGCAACTATACATTAATTGATAGATCAGCAATATAATAATATAACATTATAGACAATTCTTTTAAATTAATATGGAAAATTATCATGAGCATGAACATTATACAAAATTCTTCCAATTTTCTAAAAATATTTTTTAAAAAATAAAAAAAATAAAGGTACTCTTTCATCTATATATATAATTACTAGCTAATGCATTTAATAAAATATTTAATAAAACCTATTTTCATTCCCTCCTAAAGGAGTTACATTTTTTTAATTAATTACTCACTAATCTGCTAAAATCGTTACACCTTGATATATATTTTTTTATTATTTATTTTTTGGACCAATTACTAAATTAATTTTAAATTTTGTAGCAAAATATTCAAATGTGTAACGGCTATATTTGGTTGTATTGTTGGAAGAAAAAGATTGACACATATTGTTTTTTCTAAAAATCAAAAACACTGTAATGTTTTTAATTTATGTTAATTTTCTTAATATATGCCACAAATATATAAATTATTTTATTCAAGTTACTAATGTAAACGTTGCATGGTTAAAATAAAATTTAAATTTCAATTAATTTTAAATAATAAAAATAACTTATGAAAAAGTAATAATTTTTATATGGTAAAAGTACATGTCTAATTAATAAATACAAACAAGAACGTATTTTATATTTGTGCAAATGCACAGAATCAAATACTAGTGTATATTAAAAAGATGTGGACCACGTCATTATTAATCAATTTCATCTCTCTATTCTATTTTACTAGTACGTACCCCGTGCTATACACGGGACATAGATATTAAATGAATTATTTTCACATTCTAAAAAGTAATAGGGTTATTATCTATTTTCTACATCTTTTAATCAACGTTAAGTCTAAAAAACAATAAGTTATAAGCTTTTCTCCACATATTTTAACCAGCGTTGTTTTTTTAGCTAGAACATTAGATATGAGCATATTAGGGCTAGCTTGTAAAATAATTAATATATTATCTCACTAAAATATTTATACTAATAAAATTTAATTTCAGTATATAAATTTATCTCTTGATATAAGAGAAAGTAACAGTTTCACTTATTCTTGTTCACCATATAATATTTAATTACTATTTTATTATATAATAAAAAAGAATACTGTTAAATAGTGTAGTAAAATTGTTATAAACTTATATGATTTTTTTTACAATATGGTTGTATTATCTTTTTATGATTTGATAATATAACTATAATATATTATTAATGATATAATAATATGAGATACAGAATTACGTAATATTATGG